ATCAGAATCAGAATCAGAATGAGTTTTTATTGCCAGGTATGTTTACACATACGAGGAATGTGACAGAGTGACAGAAGCTTCCACAGTGTAACAGAATGACAGTGACAGAACAAAAAACACCGATAATAAAAATAAAAATAGTAAAAAAGTAAATAAGGAATAAAAATATATAAATTGACAATTGTGTGTGCAGGTATATTACAATAGACAGGTTTTTTTTTGTATGTACAGGTACTATGTGCAAATTTGAGGTGTAGGCTGAGTATGAGTGTTAGATAAATAAGTGTATGAGTGAATAAATAGTGTGTGTTCCATTGTTATTGTCAAGTGTTCGTGAGATGGATGGCCTGAGGGAAGAAACTGTTCCTGTGTCTGGTCGTTCTGGTGCTCAGTGCTCTGTAGCGTCGACCAGATGGCAACAGTTCAAAGAGGGAGTGTGTTATAAATGCTAACTGTATGCCATTATATGGTTAGGTATATATTATTATTTGTATTTATTACTGGTTTAAATGAACCTTCAAAATGACAACACGTAACCATAAACAGATCTTAAAAATGTGCTCAAGAGGTCTGGCTTTAAACGGGGCTGATAGCTGCAGCTGTTATGAGGTACCTGGCAGGTAGTTCATCATCTCCTCAAAGGTCTGCTTGGCTCGTCTCTGTTTGTCCTCAGGAGAGCGTTCCTCTGTGCTCTCACAGAAAACCGCATCTGCAGAGGTGCAGAATCTGATCAGCTGAAGAAGACAAATCTACCCATACAATAAACCAAAACAACTTGATGTAAAACCCTTATCATACACTAGAGCTGTGTGGCTTAAGCACGATCTGCTGTGACTTCACAAACGTAATTGCATTTTGGGATAGAGAGCTGCCTGAAACATCCCTTCTATTAGGTTGCAGATCAATTGGATCCATTTCAAGTATTGGAAGTTCTGGAGAGTGTATGTTTAAGTGAAGTGGAAAGAAGTGCTTGAAATAAGGCAGATAAGGTACTAATGGCATGCATCCAAGAACGAACTACAACCTCAGTTCCGGAAAAGCTGGGACGTTTTTTCACAGCACACATTACCACTGTCTTTTTGACTATCTGAGATGAGCTCTGTCCCAGAGAACCCGGCAGCATCAGACATTCAAGTAGCATTTCTTGATGCAGTAGCAGACTGTGGTAAATGACAGTGGCTTTCTGAAGTACTCCTGAGCACATGTGGCTATATTTAACACCACACCATGACGGTTTCTTATGCAATGCTATCTGAGGGCTCAAAGGTCAAGCACCTTCACCTGAGCTTTCCTGCTTTGCCCTACATGCACTGTGATTTCTCCGTATTCTCTGTATCTTTTCACAATATTATGTATGGTAGTTGGTGAAATTCTAAATTTTGCATTGAGAAATGCGATTTGTTTCACACTTCTCTCGTGAAATTTGGCAGAACGTGATGAGCCATGATCCCAGCTTTGCTTGCAAAGACTTCAGACACTCTTTTTATACCCAAACATGATACCTTGACCTATTACCAGTTCACATGCTTACTGTGAACTGCTCCAAAACAGTTTAACTTGGATATTCTATTGCCTTTTCACTTTTATTTTGCCCCTGTCCCAACTTTTTTGGAGTGTATTGCAGCCGTCAGAATTTGTTCATATTTACAAAATACATTTAAGTTGGTCAGTGAAAACTTTGGAAATCTTTTCTTTGTACTTTTGTCAATTAAATAGAAGTCAAAGAGAATTTTATTGTATTTTACAAAACGTTCAAACTTTTCTGGAATTGGAGTTGTAACCGCTATTCTGTCTGTCTGTCTATGTAGAAGTTGTTTATGATGCATTTAGGCAATATTTCAGTTTTTAAGAGGAGTGTATAACGGCTATTAGGTATTGAAGAACTTGAAGATATGATTTTATAAAGTTGGAGCACACAAACCTCGCAACAGAGTGATGAGAGAGACGAGGCGATGCTCCTGCATGATCTGCTCTAGTTTGACCTGGAAATAATGGCCTACATACGCCTCTAGTGTCCTCTTCAAGAGAATACGAGCTCCGCTCAGAAAGTGATGCAGCCAGTCAGGCATATGAAACACCACCCGACCTGAGTCAAAAAAAACAAACCAGTCCTGTGACTTCAGGAGAAAAGTGCACGAGTCGTATGGACACTTGCGTGGGCCAATCATGAGCTGTTACTTTTGTGTTCTTTGGAAAAAATAAGACCAAACAGACGAGTAGATTTTCATGTTTTGTGAACTTTTCCTTTAATAAGACTTTGAAAAGATACTTTATGTGTTTGCTCTAATTTTAGTAATCATACTTCATATTAAAAAAAAAAACTTTTTTAAAGTGTTACGATGAAAAAAAAGTTGAGTGACATTCACTTACCTATGTACATCATGCAGTCATATACGCCATCAACCTCCATCAGCTCCATGAAGTAGTTCTGGTTGTGTTTTCTCTCCAGGCCCTCTGGCAGATTGGCATTGTTTCTGTACAGCTCGTTGAACAGCTAAAATGGCATGAGTGGAAAAGTTATTTCCAGTATTGAAGATAACACAGACGACATGACAGTCAATTCAAGATTTCTTTCTTTCTCTTTGAATGATGGATTTCCAAAACTATGATTTGAGTACGGTTTGTACTGATACATCTTTCAATCACCTACAAGGTTTAGCCCAAAAATATATTTGACCTGCACCTTCAAAGACTTCAAAACGTCAATATCTCACAATTTAATAAATTCAATAAAAATTTAAAGAGAGAAAAATCATGATCTTTTCAGTAATAAGGCTAATATAAAAATGATCAATGCTGAGAAAATGTCCCTGCCCTTGCTGTAAATGATAATTATGAAAAAGCCTTTATTGAAATAAAAGTGTGTTTTGAGTAGTGAACACACCTTTTTATTATTTTCTGCAGTGGGGCTGAGGATGGTGAGCTCAGGTCTGCTGGGTTTGGGTTTGGGGGATTCACAGGAACTGAAGAACGACTGGATAAATGGCTCCAGGTTTTGCCCTTTCTGGAGAAAATCGGCAAGAATAAACATCATTAAGTCATATTAAAATCATTCTATGCTTTTCAAATTTTGTGAGAAATTTAAAAAGTGAAAAAACAACTCGTATTTGTCCTTTATCAGAAGACAGATGTGTCCGATATTTTATTCTATTATTTATATTTACACCTGATGCAAAACAACTATAGTTATTTCATCCCATAAGATACATAAAATCTAAAGAAATCAAGGCTGGGATAACTGCCATTTACTGTCAACTTCCAAGTTTTCTCGAGTTTCAGGGAGGCAACTCCTAGTATAATAATTTGTGTCAAATGTTACCTGAATATTCCCGACTGAACATGAATACTGAATCAGTGGACAGAAACACACTTTTACTAAGGAGGATTTGACAGTGAAAGGAGACTGAAGGCCAAGTTTACTATCCAGAACATCGGCATGCGTACCAATTTTTATTTACTATTATTGACCTAACGGTCACCCCCCATTTTTTTAAAATAGGCATGGAGGTGCACTATCCAAACTTAAATTGTTGTAATTTATGAACACTTTGGAATACAGACATAAGGTTGGTCGCTTTTTAAAGAAGAAAATCAGCAGATTATCGCAAAAGTGGAATTTTCTTAAAGAATTAAAGTATCAAAAAGTTACAGTAGTTTAAATTTACTGCAAAGAAAATGCACTATATTTATTTTATTTTATATATAATAAATATTTTACATAACAGGTTTTACTCTAAAATAGGTGTAAAATTAAAGCCTTATGTCGAAATAAGTTATGTTCCAAATTTGAAGTTGATATGAAAAGAATTGAGGTTCCTGCGATATTTTATTTAGGGCGTTATACCACAAACAGCCATCCAAACTCTATTACATTTTTTTATGCATTTTTCTGTCACAAATGTCTAGATTTCTCTGTCAATATTACTTCTATCTCAAAATAACCACTAAATATGGAATCCTGAGACTCAGACGTTTCCAATGATATTTTTTTTGTCAAGATTATAAAAAGTTTTGATTGTAAAAGAGCGTAATGCATTTTGTAATATGACACTTGACACCGCCCACTAAGGGGGAGGAGACCGCCAAAAGATTTTTAAGTACCATTTCCATGGTAACACAATGTCCGATTTCAAAATGGTTTTCACAGGATGAATCTTGGGCTTCTAAGCTTTCAAATGATATATGACTTATGACTATTACTAAAACATTTGATAGAGAAAAAGGACAACAACAAAAAAGAGCGCCAAGCGTCCCACGGGTGGGACAGTGACAGTTAAGGGGTTAACTGGCATTAAATCATTGAGCTAACTATTGGGAGGATTTTAGCTATAGGGTGGATCAAGTTAAATTTTGGTAATAGAAATTTTTTTTTTGTCTTTGTGTTTTAAACCTCTCTATGTGGGGCCTGAACCAGCGGTAGCTCAGCATGAAGTGGATGTAAAAAATTAAATAGAGTACGTTTTGATTTCATTGTGTCTCAAAAGTGAAACTAATACAGAAAACAACATCCAAATTCTTACCTCTTTGATCAGTTTTCCTGGCACTGACTTAAACATCTTCCCTGCAGAGACAAACAGAAATTCAATGAAGTAAATTCATTGTATTGAGAGCCTACTTTTTCCATGCTTTATAGATTTGTATATTTAATAAACATTCCTGAATGAACTGAAGAGGATTGTTGTCTTCTTTCTGTTAAATAAACCATAATTCGAAGTATTAAACTGTGGGATTCCTCCTTTATTGCTAGTAGATGTTCTCAAGTTGTGTCAGACTGGATAAGGGATTGCCATTAAGGCTGTTCAGCTGGGTTTCTCGCAGAACACCAAGAACCACTCTGGCAAGCACTGCAAAACCTCCTCTTAGACAGAATATCGGCCTGTCCTGAGACACACTGCAAGAATGATATCGGACTTCAAGCATAGCCTAACGAAGATAAACATACGTGTTTCTAATGCACAGGAAAGGCCAACAAAATAAGCTCTTTCAGACTTCTCAATGTACTAACTTTTTAGTACCCTCAAAACTCAACTTTTTTTTTTTTTTTGCAATATTTACCCAACAACAAAACATATATGACGTCATTCAGTATATCCAGTGGCTTACTAAAAAAACAAAAAAAAACAAATAAATAATAAATTTTGGCACATGGGTCTCTGAGTGTAAAAATAACTGCAACAATTATTTGCCTGTGCCACAAAACAAAATGCACTAATATTTCAAATACATATTCTATTATCTTACACAGTTTTGTTTAACAGGTTTTATTCTTGTTTTAAGTATGTTGCAACAAAAGACAAAAGCTACTGATTAAGAAAACGATTTTTGCATCATAATCTGGTAGTTTATGCTCTGAATCGTTCTCAAAGAATTCCTCTGTTCTCTCTGAGAAACATCCCCACAACTTTGGTCCCCACAGACAATGTTTAACTCATGCTGTCAGACTGATTTATGGGCTTACTCCAAACAGACTGTTGTAGACTGTTTTCTCACCACTGACTATCTAGCAATTCTACAAACTTCACCAGCCTGGGCAACTTTCAATACATATCCAATCAGATTTCAGAAGTGCACCAAGGGGCTAAGTAACATTTGATGCTGTTGATGCATGTGACAAATCCCCTGAATTCTATATTAATGCTTTAGGGCAAAAATTTATGAAATTAGGTCAATGACTTGCAGTTGCCTCAAAAAGTACTTAAGTTACATTTTAAGTGATATTAGCAAAAATGTGTCATTTTAAATCAAGACGAGCACACTTTAAGCAAAATTTGAAACAATAAAATTGAATAAAATCTAGTGTTGACAATGAAGTCAAAAAATATTGCACCATTTTGTGGTTGTAAAACATTGTGTTTATAGGAAACTCTTAAAACTCAATCTTTCGCATCATAAAGCACCGCTGTAATACCAACGACATTTCACTAAATCATCCAAAACCTTTTGGGGGCTACTGAAAATGACATGGTGGAATAATTGCTTATTGTGGTTATTAATGTTATTATTATTAAATATAATTATTTACTGAACATCTTAATCATTCAGCTGAAATGCAGCACTTTATACACTCACTTTTTCAGAAACACCTGTAAACCTACTATTCATGCGATTTTATAATCAGCCAATCATGTGGCAGCAGCACAATGCAAAAACTCGGTAAGTTGACGATGCACAATGACTGCAGTCCCAACTACTCAATGCCACGTCCTCAAATTCCATCCTAATAGGGTTGATTAAAAAAAGTAGGACTCAGATTCACCACAGACAAGAGGCTTAAGCTTCCTTCGAAGGGCATGGTCACAAACATTCTTCACAAACTGATCACACGCAAGTGTGTCTGCATAATGTAATTAGAGGCATTCTTTTTAACCCTCTGCATTAAACACAGTAATGCATGCAAGACCATGCTCCTGCACTGTCAGAAAAATGTGCAAAATTGTACCTTTAAGGGTACAACAGCTTCCTTAAACGGACAAAGTTGTACCTTACCTATCCCTAAAAGGTGTATATTAGTAGTTGGGTCAATGCCTACATTTTCTGGCCGATTGCATTTTTTCAGTTAAAAATTGGTTTAAATGCATACAAAAGTTACCATATATAAGAAGTACCTCTTCCATGTATGTACTCACTTTAACTTTTCAAAAAACATTAATTATTAAAAAAATTTCTGTTATTCAAAGTGTCAAAATATCATGTGGTGCAACTGTCCGGCCATAACTGCTGTTTTGGAGGCATCTTTGAAATTGCCCTAAATTTATTCAGATTAATTTTCTGCACTATTTGGCATGATTTCCAAAGTGTTTTGTAATCCTGTATAAAATTGCAAATCATTTGTATTTATATTTCCATCATATTATACAAACAAACTTTGTCCGATGAATGTCCATTTCATGAAATATCATGGGGTGCGACCATCAAGAAACTACCATTTTGGGACTTTTATGTTGAAATTCATTCAAAGATAGGATGTTGCATCATATACCAATTTGCCAAGGACCCATGGAAGCATCAAGCATGTTTGTAATTATCTTTCAAATTTGGGAAAAAATTACCTTTTTAACGGCTGGGATGTAGTTACCACATTTGAATATAATGTGGTATGACCTCAAAAAACAATGAATATTAAGTTATTTCTACAAGTATTTATTTTTATTATAATTTTAATAGTGGCCTATAGTGGGAAGCTAGCTTTTTTTGTTTAGGTGGCCAATTCTGTGCCTGTAAATTTTGACTGAATTTAAAATATTACGTGGTGCGACCAAATATCACGTGGTGCGACCACTGCAGTGCGTTTTCCATTATAGATATATGTCTTAGATTGGCAGTTTTTTGCGCTTTTATATTCAATAGATGGTTTACAGTATATACATAAATTACTTTATTTTAGTATAATTTGGAATAGATTTTTAAGCAATTTAGGTCATTTCAGACAGGTTTATGTTTAATCTTTGTACAATGAGAAAAAAATGCCCCTGGCCAATTCTGTGCCTGTAAATTTTGACTGAATTTAAAATATTACGTGGTGCGACCACTGCAGTGCGTTTTCCATTATAGATATATGTCTTAGATTGGCAGTTTTTTGCGCTTTTATATTCAATAGATGGTTTACAGTATATACTTAAATTACTTTATTTTAGTATAATTTGGAATAGATTTTTAAGCAATTTAGGTCATTACAGACAGGTTTATGTTTAATCTTTGTACAATGAGAAAAAATGCCCTCAAAAAATGTAGAGCATGTCATTTTAGTTAGGTAATTATGCATTTATTAGTAATTTATTATTTATTTAATAATAACTATTTTAATCTAATTTACCAGATTCCACTGCCAAACAAAGTCAAATAAATGCTTGCCAATTCTGACCCCTGCAGTCAAGCACAAACTCCAGATGTCATCTTCTACTGTAAGAACGATGTTCATGCTGTCATCTCAGAACCTGAGCCAGCAACTCTAAACTGACCCTTCACAAAGACCCGCCCCCTTAGTTACTGTTGCTATGTCCATCAAACCATGGCACTTTTATGCCACGCATCATGTTCTCATGCAGTGAAAAATACATCGCAGAGCAAAGACGACACTGACAATGCGCTGACATACAAGACAGGTTACTTTTGGAACAAAGTCTCCGAGAGTTCAAATTTGTCTTTTTTTTATTTTTTTTTTAAGAAATTCAAACAATAAATACTGTTTTGTGGCTCTTTAATGTGTCGTGACAGATCGCTGTAGCGCCTCAGTTCAAGGCACACGAACCGATCATCTCTTCATCTTAACTAGTTTTAGCACAAAATAAACACGAATGAACATCAGAAGGTATCTTGTTTCAACCGTGAAAATACGTCAATACACACCATTTTTTCAAGTTCAAGTCCACCGATGTTAATCTACTCTCTTGTCTGGTTTGCTTGTCGGACAAAAATGACGGATTTAGCGTTATAATTGGTCAGATCGCCTGTTAATCAAACTTATGGCAAAGGGTCAATTGAGCAGCCAACATTGGGCAAAGCTCAGAAATAACGGGGGCTAAAGAAATGCCTGCAGTTAATGCCATATGCTGCACTTTTCACACGTCTCTTTAAATAGATTTTTAACGGAGTGTCTAGTTACACTACGTGCAAATAGCCCGCCTTGTTGGCAGAGGCTATTTACACTAACTCCGCCCATCAATGTGTGATTGGGCTAGTCAACACTACAAAAGACGGCTGTCAAACATCAGCTCCAGTGGCGTAGATGGTAAAGCACGAACCTCAGTCTTTTTGATGTGATTGACCCGGGTTCGAACGCGCCTTTTGCTGAACTTTTTTCCCCATCTTTCAAATCTCATATCACATCAGAAAAGCATTTATTTTCAATAAAAATCAATCAAAAAGTTGAAAAAGTATTGGGTAGGGTTAGGGTAGGTGTAGGGAGGGCTTTATTGTCCCAATAAGGTGGCATCCATTTAATAATTTGAATTAAAATCATAATTTATACTCAATGCATATTGTTTTATAATATACTCCAATACTGAGGTGCAGATAATTGCAGCAGAAATTCCTGCTATTTTAACAGAGTAAATATAATCTATAACTATTTGCACTTAGCAATTTACAGGAAAAATAAGTCTGCTAACTACATTTAAGAAGGCAACGACGACACTGACAATGCGCTGACATACAAGACAGGTTACTTTTGGAACAAAGTCTCCGAGAGTTCAAATTTGTCTTTTTTTTATTTTTTTTTTAAGAAATTCAAACAATAAATACTGTTTTGTGGCTCTTTAATGTGTCGTGACAGATCGCTGTAGCGCCTCAGTTCAAGGCACACGAACCGATCATCTCTTCATCTTAACTAGTTTTAGCACAAAATAAACACGAATGAACATCAGAAGGTATCTTGTTTCAACCGTGAAAATACGTCAATACACACCATTTTTTCAAGTTCAAGTCCACCGATGTTAATCTACTCTCTTGTCTGGTTTGCTTGTCGGACAAAAATGACGGATTTAGCGTTATAATTGGTCAGATCGCCTGTTAATCAAACTTATGGCAAAGGGTCAATTGAGCAGCCAACATTGGGCAAAGCTC